TTACCAAGACTACTAATGTACCCTTCCCCCCCCCCCATTCCATATAGATATTAAGCAGCATAGGAGAAGGCTGGAACCTGGTGGAACATGCTAAGTCAGCAACATAGTTGGCGTAGTTCCCCAGCCTCCTTTTAGTGTGCAGGGTCAGATAACCATGGGACTGGTCTCACCCTGGTCATTTTAATTAGCCAGGCAGGGCAGGGATTGAGCAAGTAAATGGGGGCCTTCAAGTCTGAGCATAACATTTTTACATCCTGTGGGCCCTGAAAAAAGTCTAGATTAAATTTCTCTTGCTTATTTTGGTCCATCTAATCTTGTCTGTCTATCTAAACTTAGTTGGAGAAACCAGAATGAGATTACCTACCCATGGAAGCACTGTTTCAGTGGGCAGCTGAACTAGACCAAGCAAACTAGAAGGCACAAACAGCAAGATACTAAATCACGTCCTTTGGTGCAATGCTAGGCAAGTTTTTTATGCTCAGACAGAACTGCCTGCATCCAAGGCAACAGCTTTTTTTTTTTTTTTAATCTTCACACACTTATTAGAGTTAAAGCCCATTAAGAGAACTTTCAAGAATAAATGTGAATCAGGGTTTGAAGAAATAGATTCGTGCAATAGCTCATTCCAATTTTATTCATGTGTCCCATAGGCATATTCTCAGATCATCATGCAAAGGATAGTTTTGGATTATAGGATTATAAAGGATTTGATTCTTCTTACTCTTGATTCAGTTCTGCTTTAATCACTGGAAATTCAGGTGCAATGTAAATGACCAAGTTACACCTAATGTCTATGGCAAAACCTTTCTTTCTCTCTCCCTGTCTCTCTTCCTTTCTCATGTCGAACTGTCAAATGGTGTGTGGATAGTCCTTAAGGTAGGGTGATGTGTTAGAAGAAACCTCAATAAATGCTCGACTTTCCTTCCAGAAGTATCCCATCACCCAAGAAGAGAGAGCATATATTTAATGGAGTTTCAAAGATTCTGAACAGAGATTCCTGGCCTCCCATCAGTCAACGAGAATGTGAGACACAGTTCATATAGGATGGTCTAGCGGGAGAAGACTAGGTACAAACTTCTCACAAGAATAATTTCTCCATTCTTGTGTGAAGCCTCTAACTTTTAGGCACTTGTATTCAAAGCTGTTTTGTGATGCAACATGCTGCCTCCACTTTAAAAACACAAAACATAATTATATTGCTTGATGTTAATTTGAGGTGTCAGCTGGCAGTTCCATTAGCTGACTAGAAGATATTGTAATAAAAGTGTATAAGCTTTGATCTGCAATTTCTACTTTTTTGAATAAAAAAAAACATATTTGAAAACATTATTTTTGTCACATAAGATTCTTAGAAGACACTCACCTCAAATCATAGGTATCTGTTTTGCTATGGCCTGAAGTTCTCCAGTTCACAATATGTTATGCCCAGAATAATGGACTGAACACGATGACATTTATATTTTTAAGGACATTGTTCTGGAGGCGAAAGTGGATTATTTCAAAATGAAATAAGTTCACTATATGCAATATTATCAGCATATTGGCCTATGCATGAGTATCTTGCAGCAAGAGTGTTGAGCAGGCTGTGAAGGTAGAGTGTCTTGCAGACTACATTAGAATAGCTTGAACCTTAGATTGAAGCTTAGGGTGGATCCTCACTAGTGGCACAGTATTTACTAGAGTCATCCAACTACTTTTGTACTGATAGAATAGTAATATGATTTCTATCCTCTCAGTTATGGTTGGCTGATGCTAGAAGATGCTACAGATCACTAGTGGAGATCTGTCATACTAGTTACCCATTTTCTTTTTTGCCATTGAATCCAGAGGTCAAAACACACTCGTGTCTGATGGGCAAAGATTTGGCCAGACATAATTATTGTGATTATGAAGTCACAGGCAAAGCCTACTCTTGAGTCTAAGCACTGCAAAAGGAAATAAATGTTGATTGCACTTTAGATGCAGCTGTTCTGCATCTCTGAAAATATTCATAGATATAAGATACTGAGAACTACTAAGCATCTTCAAGAGAATTTATTTCAAGAGAGAGACCCAGCACATTTCTTTGGAGATTCCCGCTTAGGCAATGTAAGCAACAAAAAGTTGCTGTAAATAAATACTTTAAAAAGAGGAATGAGTCCACAGAGATGGAACAAGGTGCCCTTTATCACCTCTTCTTCTACTTTAAAGTAAAAACATACTTGTATTATGTTTTTACTATAATCTTTATGACAGTTTAGGAAATGGCGGCGAATATGTGTAGCACAGGGTTGAACTGTGGA